AGGGTCCCTGCACAACAATCCCTGCCGTGTCCTGCCATCCAGCCAGGCACAGCTGCACTCCCAGTGGAATGAGCACCCTCACGCCCTCACAGCCAGCGTGTTCATACGGTCACCAGCACCCCCAGGCTCACTGCATAGTGTCTCTATGTGTGAGGGAACTCTGATGGTATTCACCAGCCAGAGAAAACTCAGCAGCATCTGCTTTGGAGTAGGATGGCATCTCTGCTCCCACCACAAGGTGCTCTCTGCAGCAGCCACGGCACTGGGAGTCAGGAAACATCCCCCCCCCAACCCAGCCATCCCTGCTGCTGGCTCTCAGGGTCAGTCCCATCGCAGCCACTTTCTCTGTGTGGTGCTCAAGCGCAACTGCTCACTGGCTGTTTCGGTCAGCTCTGCTTTGACTTCTGCAGCCTCAGTGCCGTAGGCTGGCACGGCAGTGACAGGTACGGGTGCAATGGCAGAGAGAACACGCAATACCTGAGTGATTCTGCAGAGCCTGGTTCTGGCCGTCCTTCGTCGGTGTGATGAGATCCCAGATAAAACTCTTAATCTTCTCATCCCCCTTGTAGTGTTTGACGCAATAGACCAGCAAGGCCCGACAGATCATCTCCATGTCCTTCTCATTCAGGTGCCACTTGAACCGCCCATGGGTCAGGATGTCCTTCCAGCGTCCCCAGCTGGAACGGCAGGAACACAGACAGCGTAAACGCTCCTGTACAACCAGAGATCTCGCTGGCACCTCTCTCCAGGAGGAGCTCAGTCAGGGGCACAGCCCCGCCAGCTCCCCTGGATAGGGGGCTTCTGCACCCACATCACGGGAGCAGAAAGGGGGAAAGGTTTGTCCAGGACTGAACAGGGCAGAAGCAGGAGCAGACTCTGGAAGTGCCAACTGCCAGCTCAAGCTTCCCCCCTCCAAACACTCCTTCCACCCCAAATGTTCACTCAGAGCCCAGGTCCCACCAGGGAGGTCACTGCTGGAAGGAGGGGACACTGCAGGCAGCACAGGCAGCAAGTGGCTAGGGCAGCCAGGGGCTCGTGTGTGCACTGGGGCAGCTGGAGGCTGTGGCCATGCTCTCTGAGAGGGGGCCAGACTCACCCGAATATGAGCAGGTTCTTCTCTACACGGAAGCACTCAGCCCGCAGGTACCGCCGTGTCTTCTCATTGAAGCGCCGCGAGCGCGTGGGTCGCTCGTCTGAGTCACTGTCCAGCTCGGAGAACTCCATCAGCTCATCCTCTTCAAAGGAGTTGTAGTGTTTGGTTTGCTTCCGCACCCGAGGCCTGTCAATGACCAGGCTCTCCTATGAGGGATGGAGAGGAAAATGTGCTCAGCTATGGCAGAAACACCTGCCTTCCCTCAGGGCACAGAGCATCCTTGCCACACTGCCACCCTGCTCTGCTCACGGTTCTGGATCCCGCCTCACCTGTCCCGTGGCCAGCCATCACCTTCCCGCTGGGATACCTGCTCCAAATCACCTGCGTGCGGCTCTGCCTGCACACGAGACAATTCCCGGCCAGCACAAAATTCAGCCTGAACGACAGCAGGTTGGAAATCAGGCCCTCTGGCTTCAAACTGCTGACAACCAGCAGCTGATTCAGCTCTGAATCACACTCCTGCACTGAGCGCTGTGCTGGAGGTGGTGTAATTTCTGTGCTGGAGGGAACAGGTAGGCTGGATGAGGAAAGGCAGCTTCCAAGAAGGTGCAGGAGGGAGCAGTATGACATTAAGTAGCACATACCTGCCTCCTCTCCTTCACCCCACCTTATCAGATGAATCCATGCCATCTAAATCTGCCTGGATTTCAAGCACGTGGGACACAGACACCCCCCCGCTCTCTGGCCCGCAGAGCTGTGGGGCCTCCCTCTTGCTGCTGTCTAACACCATCTCTACAGCGCTGCTGCCTTAGCTGGAATTTCGGCAGGACCTGGAGCCTCACTGAAGCCGGCTGCAGCACTCTGCGCTCGATGGAGGAGCCAGGAGCAGAGGCCTGGGTTGTAGCTGAGACGACAAGCTCGGCAGGGCCAGCAGAGAGCTGGGACCCATCTCCTGACAGGCAGAGTCACCGATGCCCCCAGCTCCACCTCAGCACTCAGCTAGAGAGCTCCTGGCATGGGCAGAGCAGGCAGGGACCAGGAACAAGGATGTCAGCCCCAGGAGATGCTCCCCAGAGGCACAGGGGGAACATCCAGCAGCTCTGCTACCAGGCCAGGGGAAGCCAAGCACAAGTTGGAGCTCCCTGCTGCCACATCTGTCCACAGTTGCTGCTGGGAAGGAGCCAATTTGCCAACGAGGGCAAGAGGTGATACCCCAGAAGCATCCGTTTACAGTCCACAACCCCCTCACCTGGACACAGCAATGGGCCTGCCAGATCCGTGTTACTCCTTGTTACCACAAATATTAAAAACAGTGTGACCAGCAGGTCCAGGGAGGTGATTATCCCCCTGTACTTGGCACTGGTGAGGCCACACCTCGAGTACTGTGTTCAGTTCTGGGCCCCTCACTATAAGAAGGATGTTGAGATTCTGGAGCGTGTTCAGAGAAGAGCCACAAGGATGGTGAGGTGTCTGGAGAACAAGCCTTATGAGGAGCAGCTGAGGGAACTGGGCTTGTTTAGCCTGGAGAAGAGAAGGCTGAGGGGAGACCTCATCAGCACCTACAACTGCCTCAAGGGAGGTTTTAGAGAGGTGGGTACTGGTCTCTTCTCCCAGGTGATGGGGGATAGAAGAAGGGGAAACGGCACCAAGCTGTGCCAAGGGAGGTTCAGGTTAGAGATAAGGAGGAAGTTCTTTACTGAGAGGGTCGTCAGAAGCTGGAACAGGCTGGGCCGGGGGGGGGGGGGGGGGGCATCCCTGGATGCATTTAAAGAGCAGGTAGACGAGGTACTTAAGGATATGGTTTAGGGGGTAGACAGGAACGGTTGGACATGATGATCTCAGAGGTCTTTTCCAACCGAGCGATTCTGTGTGTGATTCTGTATGTGTGACCACCCCTGATGGCAGGACAGCACGGCTGCAAATGCTGATGGAGGAAGGAGTGACACAATCCAAACCTGCCCCTGCTTGCACCATAAGGCCAGGAGAAGCCCTGGGCAGCTCCCTTCATCCCTTTTCACATTCAGCTTTTAGAGAGATCGCTTTCTAAACAGCACCTGAATACTGAGCCTGACCCACACTGTCTTCGAACAACCCCCTAGGCTTGGCTGAATATGGCTAGTACTTAGTTGGGTATGGAAAATATCCAAAGGGCAGCATGTGGGAGCACTGATACTGCAAGAGCAGGGGGAAGCACCAGAGGAGATGCCCAAGCCCGATCTCCTCTCGTGACACCCCCTGCACTCTCAGGGCCAAGCCCCTCTGGCCTGGATGCCCTTGCTTGCACCCTTCTGCTCAGAGAGGATGAGAAGTTGAGCAAGAGGGAGCATCTGCAGACACCAGGCAGGGTTGTGTCTGTCCCCTGGGTCACTGAGCCCCTGGCAGCCCCTTCCCAGTCTACCCTAACCTAGGACAGAGCTCTGAGACCCAAATCAGACCAAGCATCCACTCACAGCGATGCCCTAACAGACCCAGGGCCACAGCCACGACGTCCAACCTCCCTGCAACCCGTCTTCGTTTGGGAGCGCAAACGAGGCAGGGGAGCAGCACAGCACCTCACAGCCTTCACAGCATTGCCGTGTTCACCGGAATGAGACATTTCTCCAAAAGTGCTGCCTTCCAGACAGCACCCACCGCCTGCTCCAGCCCAGCCAGTGCACTGCTCCCACTGCAGCAGCACAGACCTGTGCTCACCCAGCGAGGACACCAGTTCCAGTGAGAGCCTGGGACCTGAGGGTGCTGGTGTGCCTGACAGATGCCTCTCGACCAGCAGTGTCTCAGCATTGTCATGCCACTGCGGCTCCTCAAAATCGTCCTGTGCTGCTGCTGGAACCCACACATTACGAATTAATCACTACAGAGAAGTGTGGTCATTATGGATATTACTGCTCTTACCTTGGCATTGAAAAGCGGCATGGGATGTACGACCGATTCCAGGGACCTGCCTGCTCTGATGTTACCTGCTCCCCACCAGCCCAAACTAATTGCAAGTCCACATTGCTTCTAGGTCACTAAATGGCTGGACTTGCTGCTGGGTTAAGGCTCCCTGAACAGGTCCCTGGATGCTGTGGCCCTGCAAAGGGCCTGGAAGGCCACCCGGGGAGACAAGAGGGAGCCTGGGCCAGCGGGTGCAGTCACAGGCAGCACAGCTTCCTCTCTGCCCACTGCCAGGAGAACTCTGCTGAGCCACACCATGACAAACAGCACCTCCTCAGCCATCAAGACCTGCGGCACTGGAAGCCCGGGGGCTGCGGTGAAATGAACGCGCCTGGCACTGCAAGCTCTAGGACTTGAAGGGCTGGAGTACCCAAACTCATGTCAGTTCACCAGGCCTCCTCCAGAGCTGCCAGGCCAAATGCCTCCCTCTGCCCAGGGTGCCAGGCCTCGCGTGGACTTGGGTTTGGGCTTGGGAACGGTTACACAGCTTGCCCTGAGTGTGGGAAGAGCCTCGCTCACCCCTCCACAGTAAGAACATCCCCAGCCACAGCAAGAGCTGGCACTTGGGTCCCTTTGTGCCCTGCCAGGGCATACAGCAGCTCAGCCCTGGCACTCCTTGAGCTAAGGAAGGTCTCTGGGCTTGGTGAGACAGCCAGGGAGCCAGGAAATCAGAGCTGGTTCCTGCAGGGCAGCACGGGACCGTCCTGGTACTGCTCCAAGCCCCAACTGCCCAGGCTGTCAGCACCCAGCGTGGCAGGCAGCAGGAGCCACTGTGCGGAACTGCGGCACAGCCCCAGCTCACACACAGGCAGCCACACCAGCCTGCGGGGTTCCCAGGCTTGCCACTGTGCTGGCTGCTTCATCCGCTCCTCTCTGCGCACACTGCCAGCCCCCAACTGCTGCCCCTTAACCAGGCTTGGGAGTAACTGGGAGCACGGACTGAGCACCCTGAAATAGCACGCAGTCACAGCCCAACATGTGGCTGAAATAACTGGGGCTTTAGCCAGCACTCGCAGGTCAGTCTTCACTTGCAGCAGTTCCTGACACCTAACACACAGCCCTTCACGAGCGCAGCGGGAGCACACGGCTCTGAGTCATAAGCTGGATCCTACCTTTTCATTCTTGGCGTCTGTATCGAGCTCTGCTATCTTGGCCCACTTTTGCCAGAAGTTGGGATCATCTAAGGAAATGTCAGTTCTGTTTCCTGATGCTACGAAGCTGGCCTGGGAGTGAAAGAAGAGGAGTGAACAGGGTGCAACTCCCTATCCATGTGTGCCTCCCCCCATACATAGATCCCCAACACATCTGTCTGCAGTGCACACGCCAGGAGGCTCTTTGCTTGCTTAAGGGAGCTGAACCTCTCTCTCTCCCAGTCACGCCTGGCCTGTTGGAAATGGAGCCTGGGCTCCCTGACCCTCAGGAGGAAGAGGAACAGACGGCCCTCAGTGCCCCCAGCGGACACCAGCCACGAGCATGGCACAGAGCTGGCTCCTGGGGCTCTCTCCTGTGGGGGTGTCAGGGCCCCACAACACAGAGCTTCCCATGGCACAGCAGCTTCAGGCATCGTGCAGGCCAGCAGCTGGGTCCTGCCACCACCCTGGGGCTCTCCTGCAGAGCCAGGTCCCACGGCAGCAGAAGGGTGAGGCTGGAGACTGAGATGGGCTGTGCTGTGGGAGGGCTGTGCTGAAGGTACCACAACTCCGTCCCACACCACCAGCACCCCTATCCCTGCGTTTCTGCTTGGCAAAGCACCACAGCGAGGCAGCACCGGTGGCCAGAAGGGCAGGGGAGGTGACAGACTCTGGACCAAATAAGCTCAGTCCATGAGAAGATCAGCCCAACTAAGGACTGGATCTCACCCAGGTTTTGAACTCATTCATCCTCCCTAAGGAGAGGCCTGACCCTGCCCACAGCAGTGCCAAGCAGAGGGTCCAGCTCTGGACATGGCCTGCTGCCACAGCCAGGAGTCCTCAGTCCATCAGAAGAGCAAGTCCTCCACCCTGCAGTGCCCTGACTGGGACACAGGAGCAGCTCCACATCTGTCCACACCACCAGCCCAGTGACAGAGCACACCCTGGCACTGCCCGGCACCTGGAAGGCAGCCTCTGCTCTGCCTCCTCCCCAGGGAACGTGGACTCCGGCAAGATAAACCCTCCTGGGCAGCCTCACATCACCGGCCCAGGCTGACGGCCCTCTCCTCAATGCTCTGCTGACCACCAGTGGGACAGGAGACCACACTGCTGCTGTGCTCCAGCAAGGTCTCACTCCTGGGCGCAGCAAGACGAGCAGGAGAGCTTGTGTCTCGACACACAGGTGAGGTCAGACCACCACTGCTGCCCTGCATGCTGCCAGCATCTCCCCCACCACCCCAGCGGGAGCGCCCCTTCCCTCCCGATGGAGTACAGCACACCTTGGCAAAGGTGGAGCCCTTCCCCTCGGACTGAATTGTGATGGTCTGCGTCCTGCGCTGGAGGATCTGATCAATGTCTTCCTCGCAGAACTTTGATCCTTCATCCTCCTCGTCCATGAGCGCGCCGTAGGCACCCTTCCGCAGCAGGTCCTCCACCTCCATCTTTGAGAGCTGCTGAACCTGCCCAAAGCATGGGGGCATCACCAACCTGGCCAGCTGCCCTGGGCACTACACAGCATGAGAAGACTCTTTCCTCTTCCCCAGGAGGGAGGGGAGAGATGCCCCAAGCCAACCCGGACCTCCTGCTGCTACAGCGAAGAGGTCACTTCAAAACACTGCCTGAGAGACAGTCAGGAATTTCAGTCCATGTCACCCAGACACAGCCCCATGTGTTCCCCAACCCCGTGGCAGTGCAGGGACAGCCTGACAGCCCAAACAGCAGCAACATGGGTGTGTGGGTCCGGGCTCTCCCCGCTCAGAAGCCTGCCCAGGTCTCTGCTCCGACCTGGCAGTGACTCGCAGGGGAAGGAGCAGAGCTCTCCCTTAGTGCCTCCTGCCTGGCCCTGCTCTGACAGCCAACCTACCCCATTGGTGCTGCCCTTGCGGTTGATGTCCTGCAGCACAGCCTTGTCCAGGCCCAGCTTCAGGCTGGCCTTGTCGAACATTTCCCGCTCATAGGAGTTCCTGGTGATGAGGCGATAGACTTTCACCGCTTTGCTCTGCCCGATTCGGTGGCAGCGAGCTTGAGCCTAGGAGCGCAGAGGGCACAGCATCAAGCACAGTGAGCCCAGCAGGATGGGGACCGTGCGGCTCATGGCACCCCGCGCCATCAGCACCGAGCCAAGTCAGCTCCCGCCCACCACAGCACCCACATCCAGTGCCTGTGGCTGGCCTGGCGGGGCTCTGCCAGCGGGTGCTGCCCAGCACCAGGCCTGGGCAGCTGTGGAGCAGGAATCGGAGACTTCTGCAACCCCAGCAAGGACGTGGGGCTCTGGCTGGTGCCTTGGCTCTCTGCAGATGGAGAATGCCCAACACTTCGTCCCCTCCAACACTAGGTATGGACAAAGTGCTGCCTGCTCTGTGGCCCGCCTGTGCCACACTGTGACCTCCCCCATGACATGTCCCCTCTGCCTGCACTCCTGCCAGCTCTCCCAGCATGGCCCAGTACAGCCGGGTGCTGCTGCCCTTCCCTCCCCAGCTGGCAGGAGTCACAGCAGCCTGGCCCCTTACCTGGAGGTCGTTCTGTGGGTTCCAGTCCGAATCAAAGATGATGCAGGTGTCGGCAGCAGTCAGGTTGATGCCCAGCCCCCCTGCCCGTGTGCACAGGAGAAAGACGAAGCGATCCGAGTCGGGCTTGCAGAAGCGGTCGATGGCAGCTTGGCGCAGGTTCCCGCGCACACGCCCATCAATACGCTCATACGTGTACCTGCTCGGAGAGGGGAAATCGGTGAGAGCAGGGTCACAGCGGGGCCTGAACCAGCTGTAGCTCACAAAGCCCCTCTCGTTCCTTTCTTGGGCTCTGTGTGGGCATGCGGGCAGCCAGGACTCACTGGCAGGACCTGTGCACAGGCCCCATCAGCCTGTGCACGCTGTGGCTGTACTCAGAAATCATTCCTCTTTGGCAAAACCATCACAACCCCCCACACAGTGCACAGAACCAGGGCTCATGGGAACCAGGACCAAGGGAAGGGCCTATTTCCATTTGGTCACTCCTAGGACCAACCCTGGGAAACACAGACCGGACAGGTCAGAGCTGCCCAGCTTTGGGGTCTCTGCCCATACCAGCAGTAGCCTGTAACTCAGATCCTTTGGTACGAATGGCCAGATCCCCACCCTGGGATGGAGATGATGTGGAGGAGCTATGGTGAATGCTGAAGCCTGTACTAACCGCCTCTGAATGAGATAGTCCTCCAGAATGTCAAGGCAGCGCACCATCTGGGAGAAGATGAGCACCTTGTGCCCACCGGCGATCAGCTTGGGAAGCAGCTTGTCAATGAGCACCAGCTTCCCAGCCGCCTGGATCATGGCCTGCAGCTGGAAGTCTGGTGCCTCTGGGCTGTGTGTTTTACGGAAGTCTTCCAGGATCTTCTCCTCTGCCCCTGCCAGGTGAGAAGGGATGTGAGCTCTTGGGAAGGCTGGCAGGGCAGCTGCTCCCAGCCTCCTGCTCAGGCCAACAGCAAACCACCATGCGAGGAACAGAGCCCATGCAGTCAATACAATCTAGAGACCTCCAGAAGCCCCTCCACTCCTGTGACTCTACTCCTTCTTCAGGGCTTGCACCAGCTCTTGGCCGAACAAGCCAGGCTGGGATGTTGGAGAAAGTCCCACACCAGAACACCCTGAAAGACTCTGAGCCTCGCAATACCCTGAGATGGCCACCAGCAAGCAGCACTTGCAGGAAACTGGGCTGCCCCTGAGGGCACCACGGCAGATCACTGCATCCTGTGATGGGCCTGGATGCACAACCATACCAGCAGGAGATGGCATGGGGGCCTGAACTGGCTCCCAAGCTGGGTGAGCTCTGCAGGGAATGACCAGTAAATGCTGCAGTGAAAACCGTCCCCACCACGCCTCCTGTGCACAGCCCTCACCGTTGATGAGATACGGGTGATTGCAGCACTTCCGCAGCTCCATCATGGTGTTGATGAGGTTGGGCATATTGTGCTGGTTGGCACCCTTGGAGAGGAAGGAGAAGTTCTTCTCCAGGATGGCCCTGTAGTATTTCTTCTGGATATTGGTCAGCTCCACCTCAATGATGGTCTCCTGCTTGGGTGCCAGATTCTTCTCTACATCATCCTTCAGCCGTCGCAGCATCATGGGCTTCAGGATGGACTGCAGCTTCTTCACCTGCCAGAGCAAGCACAGAGATTCACTGCTCTCCCTGCATGGCAAGCACACGGTGACAACAGTGGAGGGGCATGCAACCCTAGGGCTTCCCCAGGCTGGAATCCCACAACAAATGGGGCAGCTGCTCTGCTGACCGCCAGGACGACTTCAGGGTCTGGCTGCCCTGTGGAGGGAAGCAGGCAGGCATGTGAGTGACCAGCCCCTGGCCATGATACTCCACATGCTGCTGGCAACCTTGGGTAAATGTGACTGCTGCAGGAGAAGAGCTGAGAGCTTTGACAGCAGCTGAGACAACAGTTGCTCCATGTGCCTGTGCCTGTGCCTGCTCCCTCTGAATGCTGATCTCTGTGCAATCTCCACTTAAACCAGACAATAAATGCCAGCGAGACAGCCCAGGGGACAGCTGCTTTCCATGACCCATGCTCAAGGGGAATTTTGGAGGATGCTCCCTAGGGGAACCTGAGAAGTGTTCCTTACTGATCTCCTCACTCTCCCTACACTTCTGTTGGTCTCAGAGACAGAGCAGGTGGGAAAGCTGGGTGAGCTGTGCTGCCCAGGCATGCACTGGGCAGCAGGGAGCTGGCAGAGAGCAGACCACTGCCTTGGCACGGGCTGGTCTCCTCTCTCCAAAGCAGTGCTGAGAAGTCCTATGCAGTTCCACAAAGCACGTGTCTGAGTGCACACCTGGCTTGGTGACCATGTGTCCCAGTGGCTGGTGCTAACAGCCACCAGCATCACTCTCCTAGGTACCTGCTCCTCTGTCTTCAGGTCTCCAAACTCCTCCAGGAAGGCTGTCTCTGAGGGGAACTGCTGTGGCTCCAGGAAATTCAGAAGGCTGAAGAGCTCCTCCACCGAATTCTGCAGGGGGGTTCCTGTCAGCAGCACCTTGTGCTCCTGGGTGTACACAGAAAACAGGTTGAGGGCTCAGACCTACTGGCTGGGTCCAAGGGGTCCCAATGCTCCCTCTCTTCCAGCCTCAGGAGCATGCTGGGTGGCCTGTGGGCACACACACTCCCTGAAAGGCTCCCCTGGCCATGGTGCCAGCCTGGACCCAGCCACTGTCACACAACGGTGTCTTGTGGCTCCCCTGGACATGTCCCAGTCCAGCTCTGTGCAGCAACAACAGCCAAAGCGGAGAATCCCACACCAGCCCCAGGCTTTGGCCCTGCCCTGGCACAAGACCCTCCAAGCAGGGCTGTGCTGGCATCGGACAGGGACCTGGGTGCAGGACGACCCTCCTCAGGGCTCAGGTCAAATGAAAGGGAACATGGCCCAGAGCCATGTGATACTGAGGGGCATCAGGGACCTGCTGTTAGGGGCAGAGTGAGCAGGCGTTCCAAAATCAGTAAGGGCACGTATGACTGTGTCAAGTGTGCATTGTGAACAAGGAGGAGATTTTATTAGAGGTTCACCATGGAGGTACATGTGCAATCAAAGGAGACAGGGGTCCAGACAGCCCCCCAAGACCTGGGGGTGTGAGGAGCAGATAAATGCACTGACACCACAAACTCTGGCTTCAGGCACCACCAGGTGCTGCCACCCAGGCACACCAGCCACTCTGTTCCAGCAACACCAGGGAGTCGGGCACTCACTCCCTGCTCAGGCTCATCCTCCTGCCCAACCTAACACAGGGAACGTACCCAGGAGTCATCAGCTACAAAAGAAGGGCAATTGTAAAGTGGGAGGCTCCCACAGGACCGGGTGATGGGTTACGAAGAGGGGCCAAATCCCACTCTGCCTCAGGCTGTTCACAGCCCAGCAGGGACCTGAACAAGACACAGGGTCATGTGGAAACACCACATAAAATGGTAATTTTCAGAGGCCTGGCCCAGCTATAGTCGAGTGTGATGGAAGCTGGGTAGTGCTGCAAGATCCAACATGCCTGATGGCTCTCAGTCCAGCAAACAGCAGCGCTGTGTTTCCCAGGGCTGCAAAGGACCTGGCCATCCAAATTCATTTCTCAGAGCAGCAAATTGATCCCTTTTTTATCACTCAAGGTCTGGCACCCCCATCCCTGGCATGGACTGGTCCCATACCTGCAGAGCAGTAAGAAACCAGCTGCAGAGGTCAGGGAGCACACATGGATGGGAAGGCACGGGGGGACATGACCTGCTGTGGGCTAACATTCCACTTCAGCAAAATGGAGTTTGTGATGGCTGCAAGGCACCAGTCCCCCATCCATCAAGGGCTCCCCCATCACTGGCACTGCCTCAGTGACCTGATGGGTCCTGGATGGTTTTCTGACAGGGAGCTCTCAGCCCTGGCAGTGGCACCTGCAGCCCACCCTGCTCTCACATGAACCTGGACAGGACCATGCTCACCAGGGCCATGAGCTTCAGCCCCTCCAGGAGTTTGCAGTTTCTGTTCTTCAGGCGATGCGCCTCATCAATGACCACACAGCGCCACTGGATCTTCTTCAGCTCCGGGCAGTCAGCAAGGATCATCTCAAAGGTGGTGATAACCACCTGGAACTTGAAGATCCCAGGGAGAGGGTTACCCTAGGAAGACATAAACCACACGCAGCGCTTGACTCCCGCAGGGCAGCAGGACACTGTCAGACATCCTGTCAACATATCAATGCTAGCATATGGCTCCTAGCTGGGATTTCCCCAGATTCATCTCTCTCGAGCAGCGGGCAGGTTCCTGCAAGCCTCCTCGTTGGTTGCAGGCTGCATCTCTCCAAAGCAGACACTGCTTCAGGGCAGCAAACCAGCCTGGACAAGAACTGCAGCTGGGGCTCTGCTGCGTCTTCCCCTTTCTGCATGAGCTGGGCTCTTTCTTCACTCCCACAGAGTGCACCCTGAGCCCATGCCAGCAAAGAGGTCTTAAAAGACCATCTTTCCCTCTCCGAATGAACCACAATCTCCACATGCAGCTCAGTGCTTCCCAAGCAAAGGAAGTGAGGGCTGGGGGATGCATCCTGGGAGTGCTGTGTGCATCAGTCACCTGCGTGTCCCTGTACACCATCTCATACTGCTGGATCATCTGCCGGCTGATCTGGCTGCCGTGGTACACGATGGCATTCATCTCCGTCCAGGTGCGGAACTCCCTCTCCCAGTTGGTGATAGTAGAGAGAGGTGCGATGATGAGGAAGGGGCCGTGGATGCCCATCAGGAATATTTCTGAGAGGAAGGTGATTGACTGGATTGTCTTCCCCAGCCCCATCTCGTCAGCCAGGATGCAGTTCTTCCTGCAGAGAGGGACAGGGGCAGGTGAATGTGGTGCTCAGGGGCAGGAACCACCCTGTCGCCAACTCCTCGATGGGATGGCAGGCCCATCACCTCCACCCTGCGCCGTGGAGGGTGGGGGGATATTGGTGTAGTGGCCCAAACTAGTCTGGGTAAGCCAGACCATCCAACTTCTTTCAGGACGACGGACTCTAAGTCAGTGTGACAGATGCTGACCTTTGGGTGCACGCCAGCCAGCGCAAGCTGCATCTGATGGCCTGCTGCAGCTCAGCGCATGCCTATTCTTGCCACAGGAAAGGGTCACCAGTAGCCTGGCCAACACCAAACACCAGGTGTATCTTAGACAAACAGCTAAGCCCCACTATCTCCAAGACTCACCAGCATTTACCAGGGAGAAACATTCCTGAAGACTCAGTTGCAAAGCTAAAACAAACGCCACTTTTCTGGCAGCTGTCTGCCAGCTCCAGCACTGGAGCTCTCAGTGGCTGCTCTGTCAGGCCCCTGTTTGTCAGCTATGCTCTCCCAGCTCCGTTGCTCCCTTGACTGCATGCACCAGGGCCCCACTTCCAGCAGGACCGCTCACAGGAGCGCAGGGCTCCTGCTCCTCCTCACCTGTTATACCAGTTAAAGAGCAGCCAGTTCATTCCCTCCAGCTGATACTCCCGCAGCTGGTTGCTGTTCTTATACTCCCGAGACTTCTCCAGTTTCTGCCAGGATTCAGACGCTGGGCGCTCCTAGGAGGAAAGAGCAGGAGCAAGGTCCATGGAGAGGAAGAGGCTGATGCTCAGCGAGGCCAGACTCTGCTTCTGGGGCTGCGCATCAGGACATCTTCAGAACAGTCATTGGCAGCCGGTCTTGGCCTGTGGATCCCACCCTCGGATCCTGCTAACTAACCCATGCAGAGGGGAGGACATGGGACTTGCACTGTAGCAGCAGGGACAAGACAGTCAGCACCGCTGGACCTTGGCAAGTCATAGACAGTCCCTGCCTGCCCAGGGCAGCGAAATGCCAGCCAGGTACGTTACCTCTGGGTACGTTACCATGTGCTTGATTTCTGGAGGGATTTGGAGGGCTTCAAACTCTTTAATTTTCCCTGGGTCGACATCCTCCTCCAGCTCCCAGGTACTCTCCTCGTAGGGCAGTGAGCACCACTTCACCAGGTAATGAGTCACCTCCTGCAGTGTCAAGAGACAGGCTCAGAGGGCTTGCGGCCGTGTAACCCCGGTGTGCAGGCACAGGCTGCCACTGACAGTGAGTCACAGGGACAGCCAGCGGCCCCCTCCATTCACCCCTGTGCCAAAGGGTCCTTGCGGACAGGGCACAGGCTGCACAACGCTGGGAAGGCCTTGGGGTGCTCAGAGGTGACACACAATGCACGTCATGGGTCTGAGCCTCCTGCCAAGCTTCCCTCCCTCTATGGGGCAAGCAAGCAACGCAGCCACTCACCTCCCCGGTGTCAGGGTCCTTTGTGTGAGCCACCTCCAGAATTCGATCTACCTCTACATAGTCTGGGTTGAATAAATCCTCATCAGGCTGCAAGAGCAAAGAATAAAAAGAGAGGTAAGTTCAAGGTGATTTCAGAGTTAAACAGCTACAGAACATCTGTCCCCAGGATGCTGCTAGCTGTGCACAGCACACCAAGTGCCCTGGATGCAGGTACACGACATCTGTCTCTGGGCAGGGAGGACACAGGAGCCCTGCAGAAGGCAAAGTTCTTGCTTTACAGCGGCTGCAGGCTCCATGCTGCCCTTGCTGGGAGGGAGAAATGTCCTCTCCAGCCCATCTGGCCTCAAGGTACAAAACCCTGAGCTGTATGCTCCAGTTTACAGGCAGCATCCAGAGCTGGGACTGCCACAGCACAGAGCCAGACACAGCACCCGATGAACTCCACTCCCCTGCAAGGGATGACACTTCCATCTCTGTCTCTGCCTCTCTCTCCCCACCTGCAGCTCAGCAGTCGCCAGCAGCAACTGCTCCTGAGGCAAAGGCTGATCCTCTGATCAGGAACACCGGGGAGGAGCGGGCTTTAGAACAGCAGTGGTCCTCAGAGAGACACATCGTCTAGGGCTCAGGAAGGAGAAAAACCAGGCTTATGTGTTCGCAGCTCTCCAGGTCCGTTAGTCAGAGGAAAGAACGCTCCTTGCTAAACCATCAGTGGTACAGCGCGTTCCAATACACACTGGGAAGGGTAGACCCTGAACAGACTCGGGAGTGAGAAATCTGACACACACCCCCAGCCTTCCAACTACATCCATGGAGAAATTTTCAGTCGACTGGCCTTATTTACACTTGTAAGGGGCAGTTTGAGGAGATCCAAACTACCTCTGGAGCAGCAAGATAAATTATAGAACACCTTTCATATTAAACAAGATTAATCTGCTTACAGAGCAGAGCAGACAGGAGCTGCCCTAAGCCCAAGTATTTATAGCTCCCTCTCTCCCATAGCATCTCTGCTCCTCCAGGAAATCACCTCCAGCACTGCACGCTGCCCTCCTTCCCATCGAGCAACAACAGCAGGTTGGCTGTGCCTGCCAAGTGACATTTGTCACCCTGACCATACCTCTGCCAGTGACACCATGGGTGTTCAGGGCACTGTCATGGCCCCTTGGCTCCAGAATCCCCACCCACTCACCCTTTGTGTTGTGCCCTGATTCAAATGGAAGCTAAGGTGCCACGCTGCTGCCTGGCATGGCCATGGTGCCAGCAAGGGGGCACAGGCAGGGCTGTGGGCAGCACTCTGGGCTCACTGAGCTATGGCAGAGCTCAAGCAAGGCATAGCTGCACAGGGAGCCCTGCCTGCCCACCCCAGCCCTGAATTTTGGGCCTGGAGCTGGTGTTGCCTGGGCAGGGAGGTGCCAGAGGCAGAGCTTGGCTTGTGGCTTGTTCCGCCACCACACTGGGTCCCGCTGTGGCAGGGTCAGGCACAGCTGCTTGCCACACTCGGCTCTCACCTCTGTAAAAATATGCTTCATCTGAGCCTGTTTGTTCCGGAAGCGCTTTATCTTCTGCGAGATCCTGGGGTCCTTCTCCAGCTCCTCCAAAGTTGCCCACTTGCAGTGGAGGTAGGAGCTGCAGAGGAAAAAATAAATCAACAAAGCATGACCAAGGAGGCCTTTGGGCCCACTCCTGCCCACATGCAGACCGTAAGGGATCTCCCAGCACCCAGAGAACACCCAGCCTACAACTCGTTGTGTGAAACCCCAAACTGGAGGAACCCATGGCCCAGGCCAAGACGGAGCACTGTGGCTGCAGCAGCTTTCCTGCTTCCCACTGCCAGGGCTGGCTCAGGAACATGGAGCCGAGAGACAGGGATGCTGGGGCTGCAGCTGGGGATGGGATAAAAGTGGGAGCGCACAGCCCTCGCTCCTGCATGCACAGGGCCCGCTGCCACAGCACAGAGCACCACACCGCCACACGTACAAGTTCCTGTACTTGACGTAAAACTCCTCCATCTCAAACGCCAGGCCTCCGGGATGAGCCTGAAACCAAGGGAAGGAGAGTTAGAGAGCGTCCCACAACAGCAAGAGCGTCTCTGCAGAAACTGTGGGACACCCTCCGTGTCCTGGGGGCAGCCAGGCACTCCATGCCTGGCTCCAGGCAGGCCGAGCCCCACAGACAGCGAGGCCAGCCAGGCACTCGGTGTACTGCCTGCCCCAGAGGCTCAGTGGCCCTGGTGTGAGACCACCCTTGAAGCATGGGGAACTTGAACACCTCCTGGGCATCAACCCAAGTCTGACTCCTCTGCAGAGGCTTCTTGGTGCCCAGGACAGGAGAGGCACCACATCGATCCCCAGCCCAGAAAGGTGCCAGTCCGGGTACACCCCAGCAGCACCTGCCAAGAGTGGGTGCAAGGAACAGCACGGCAGCACCGACTGCTCCTACGTCTCAAATCCCTGCTGCGCAAGGCAGCCAGGTCTCATCCCTTCTCTGCCCAAGGACCTTCAGTCCCACCGACATCTTTGCCACTCACCTCCTTCTGCACCATCCTGGAGGCAAGGATCTTCTCGATGATATTGGCATCATCCTCGGGAGGCTCCTGGGGACAGGAGAGCAGAGCGCTGTTCACCCAGCTCATGGCGTGGCTTGGCCTCTGGCACCCCCCCGGCCCCTAAGAGCTGCCGGGTCCGCGCCCGGCCCAGCAGCAGGGACACAGCCCTGGGCGGCAGTTGAGGCAGCACCGGCAGCACCTCCCCAGGTGTAAGCAGCTCCTGGCAGCCCCTGGGCGACGCAGGGAGCCGCTGGCCAGGTCTTATTTACTGGCTTAACAACAGCACTGACTAATACCCACACCAAAGCCTTGTGAAGAGGGGAGTAGAGAGAGACATAGGAACACTATGAAAACAATTAGTGACCATTACTAATATCTGGCAGCTTTGCTAGCAACCAGAGGGAATGAGCTGCATGATCCAACACATAGACCAGCAGAAAGGAGCTGCCAGGACCCACCAGGAGCCAGCACTGAACCAGAGGGCAGACACAGGGCAATGAGGCCCAAACTGCAGCAACACC